CAGTTTGCTGTCTTGGAATGTTCCAGAATGATCCTTTCTTTCTTCTCTTACGCCGCCACCCCCACCCCTGCTACCCCTTATTTCCTCCAATTCCCAAGTGCTGGGATCACAGCTTTGTGCTGCCATAACCACTTCAGATCTTGTATTCTTTAAGTTAGCTGGAAGGATTAAGTGATGGTAAGTGACATGGTATGGAACGAAGTCATAACTTTGAGCTACAATTTGTGGGATCACAATACCACAGACAAGGAAAAGTGAGTGGGGGTCATCTGGGACGTTGGAAGAGGCTTCCTGCAAGTTCTCGAAATGTGGAGGTCAGGGAATAGAGGAAGCCACCCTTCCGGAAGGGGTAAGAGTGTCTGGACAAGGAGCAAGGCCGGTGAGAGCATGACTACAGCAGATGGGGGTTCCCAGGAAGACCTGCTCCATGTTGAGTACAATACTCAAGAACGGGCAGTTTGTGGCGGAAGAAGCCTTAAAAGCATAAAGGACATTTGCTGCCCAATCATGAGGACCTGAGTTCAAATCATCAGTCAGCTCCCACATGGAAACCCAGGTTGGGAATGTAACCCCAGAACAACCAACTGGCACAGACAGACCTAGTGCCGGGACTCCCTGGCTCAGTGAGAGACCCTGTCTTAAAAGAATAAGGTGCACTTCACATCCTCCTCTGGCCTCCATAAGCACAACACACACAGACACACACACACAGAACACACACACACACACACACACACACACACACACACACACACACCACGTTACATGAGTAGATTTAAGCCACACATGGTGTCTCATGCCTGTAATCTCAACACTTGAGAGGCTGAGACAGGAAGCCCAGACGGGGCTAAAGGCAGAGTGACACCCTGTCTCGAATAAGTAACAAATAAAAAAAGATTTCCTGCTGGCCCTGGGAAGCTGCTGAGCAGTGAAAAGGACTTGATGTACAAGTCCTAGGGTCAGAGTTTAGAGCCCAGTACCCAGGTGACAAAGCAGCCATAAAAGCCTGTGCCTTCAGCTCTAAGGGACCCTATGTCATCTTCAGGCTTTCACACGGGCACAGGTGTGCTGAGCTTGACCTAAACCACATTTAAATATAGAAAATAATTTGAGCATGTGGAAATTATGATCAAGATATTGCATGAAATTTTTTCCAATTTTCTTTCTCTTCCTTCTTCAGAAGAGTCTCATGTGCCCAAGTTGGTCTTGAACTAACTGCTCAAGACAAAGAATGATCTTGAATTCCTAATCTTCCTGCCTCTACCACCCAAGAGGTAAAATTATAGATGTGTATCACCAAACCCTATTTGATATTTTTTTTATCTTGTTATCTTTTTTTTAAGACAAGGTTTCTCTGTCCCTGGCTCTCCTGGAACTTACTCTGTAGACCAGGCTGGCCTCAAACCCAGATCCACCTGCCCTGCCTCCTGATTACTGGGATTAAAGGTATGTGCCACCACCACCCAACAGAAATGATTTTTTCTTTTAGCCTTGTCTTGCTTAGTTTTTTGTCAACTTGACACAGGCTAGAGTCATTCTGGAAGAGGAAACCTCAACTGAGAAAATTGGCATGCCTGTAGTGCATTTTCTTGACGGATGATTGATGTGGGAGGGTGTAGCCCACTCTGAGCAGTGTCACCCTGGGCTGGTGGTCCTGAGAACTATAAGAAGGCAGGCTAAGCGGGCCAGGAGGCAGTATTCAAGGCCATGCACCAGCTCCTGCTTCCAGGCTCCTTTCACGGTATTCCTTAGTGATGGCCTGTGCTACGGAACTGTAAGCTGGAATAAACCCTCCCCTCCCGAGTTGCTTTTGCTCATAGTGTTTTATCCCGGCAATAGAAACTCCAAGACAATGCTCATTTCCCACTGAGGAAACTGAGCCATGTATGTTTCAGAGAGCAAATACATATAGAGGGAATAAAAGCTAAAACACCCTCATCAAAAAAAAAAAAAAAAAGTGTAAAATCAGATATGTAGGGTCAGGTGGTGAAGTGCTTACCTTACAAGCACTAGGAACGGGGATGGATCCACAGAGCCAAGAACAGACTCCAGGCATGAAGGCATGCCCTCGGAATCAGTGCTGAGGAACAGAGACAGCAATATTCCTGGGCTCACTGGCCAGCAGTCTAGACTTATTGGTGAGAACAAGCCAGTGGGAGACCAACTTAGAGGACTGTGTCTCTGTGGATGGCACTGGAGGTTGTCCTTAGGCCTCTGTGCACACACTCATGCATGCACTCCTGCACACCCATGAACACACACACATTAGAGCACAACAATCTGACATATAACAGAAGAACAGAGAAGGTGGGGGGTCTGTGGTTACTGTGGATTTCACAATTATTTTCTCCTTATACTTCCTGTTTGTAGCCTGAGAGCAGCAATTTCCCAGTCTGCCCCTGAGGCCCAGCTCTTGTTTTGCTGCTGTCAACACTCTTTCGGCTATCATTTCTGACCTATCTATTTGGGTACTACAGTTTCTTTAAAAGTTGCAGAGAGGGGGCCGGAGAGATGACTCCGAAGTTGAGAGCACTGATTAATCTTTCAAAGAACCCAGGTTCGATTCCCATTATCCTTGTGGCAGCTCACAATTGTCTGTTACTCCAATTCTAGAGGTCTGATGCCCTCTTCTGACGTCTTTGGGCATTGCACACACGTGGTTCACATATATACATACACACATGTGGACAAAATACCCATACGCATAAAATAAAAATAAAGCTTTATTTTAAAACATTGCAGAAGGCTTCCAGAATCTTTGGGAGTCCAGAGTCAGTCAACCACAGAGAATATTATGTAACTGTGAGCTTGTTATCCAATCACAGAAGGAAGGCTGATGCTCCAGCCATGATGTTGACATGAACACTAATTTGCACAGTTGGCTCCAGGAGTCAATGCCAGAGCTGCTGCTACACCACCCTAACACAGCCCTCACCAGAGAGGGATTTCGTGGTTCTAGTTCCTTACAGGCTGATTTGTAAAATGAAGTCTTTTTATAGAACAAAGCCTACGTCATGCATCTGAGCCTGAACTGAGTGGGGCCTTAGATGTAAGTTCTGACCTCAACATGGAGGAGTAAAATTTGTAACATGGGAAATTCTCCAGATGGAGGCAGGAGGATCAGGAATTCATGAGCAGACCACTGCATGGCACGGCCAAGAAGAGTCTGGGCTAAGGAGACCCTGCTTTCAAGGGCCAGGAGAGATGGCAGTTACAGGAGCATGGGCAGCTCCTTTTCAGGACCTAAGGAGATAATAGCCATCTATAACGTCAACTCCAGGGGATCTGACACCCATTTCTCGTCTCTAAGGACACCTGACTCATGTGAACACAACACAGAGATACCTACAAAGAGATTCCAATATATCCATAATTAAAAATAAAATACATCTTTAAACTAGAAAAATATATTTAAAAGTGACGTTCAGGAGCTAGGCCTTGGCGGCGCATGCCTTTAATCCCAGCACACAGGAGGCAGAGGCAGGCAGATCTCTGTGAGTTCGAGACCAGCCTGGTCTACAAGAGCTAGTTCCAGGATAGGCTTCAAAGCCACAGAGAAACCCTGTCTCGGAAAAAAAAAAAAAAAAAAAAAAAAAAAAAACAACGAAAAAGTGACATTCAGTTTAGATGTCATCATGGTTTGTGCTTGTATTTCTTTAGTATATCTCTCTCAAAAATATATACACTAGGCAAAGGCACTTGTCACCAAGTGCCTTTTCAGTCCCTGGAGTAGTCCTCTGGCCTCCACATGCACACTATGACACAGGTTCACCACACACACACACACACACACACACACACCTAAAAAGGATAAACACTTGAATCATTTCACAGTACAGAGGAAGCTATGACATCCAGGAGTTTCAAAATAATCTGGGTAAAGAGTATAAATGAAACAATTTGGTCAGTTACTGACAATTGTTGAAACAAAATAATAGTTTCAGAGGGACTTTCCTGTTTTACATTTTGTAGACAAAGTTTCATGTGACCCAGGCTTGCTGGAGACTGGCGATGGGTGCAGTAAAGGCTGATCTTCTTTCCTCTGCCTTCAAAATGCTGGAATTATAGGCATGTCACACCATCTGTGGCCATATCTCTATTTTTACATATTTGCATCATTTTAGATTTAAAAAGTTGTTTTCGATAGGCTATCCCAAAATGCACTATGTAGCCCAGGCTGCCTCTGTCAATCTTATGACAGTCCCACTGCTGATCCTCCTATGAGCCTCCACATACATGGCTTATTTGTTTTCAATGTATGTATGTATATCAGATTCATACCAGAAGAGGGCATTGGATCACCTGGAACTGGAATTACAGATTCACCATGTCACCATGTCACTATGTGGATGCCGGACCCAAACCTGGGGCCTCTGTCAAATCAGGGAGTGCTCTTAACCACTGAGCCCTCCTTCCAGCCCTGCTCATTTTGAAACAATCTCTTGTGGCTTGAGTTGGCCTTGAGCTCCTTAACTTCCTGCCTCCAATTCTAGAATTAGAGGCATAGACCACTATACCAGGCATGAGTAAAATGTTCTATTTTAACATTTTAAATTTTCAAATAGAAAAAAAAATCAGATAAGCAAAGTTAAAAGACCAGTGGAAGACTTCGAGAAGGTGGGATTAGTATATAGCCCTGCCAGGGATCGCTAGCCAGAACCTAGTAAAAATAGTCCCTGCAGACCGCTGAGAAAGGAGCTGAGATTTGAGAAGCCCAACCCCAACATCTTTATAACAAAACTGTTCCATTTCAGAGCCAACTGACACTGTGAATTAAGTGGATCATGAAAATGATGCAGGGTTGAAGGATAACCTTGTGCTACTCTCCACTGAGGGCATCCAATTGATGGTCTCTCCGCAGCCCACTGTGGTCACGTGGCTCTAAGGTGAGAGGGAATGAGCTGGAGGCAGCTAGCTCGTCACGTCAGGGTTTATGTGAAACCGAAATGAAAGTTCACTTCCTCATTGTGGATGCTTCATGTGACAGGCTCCAAGTTCTTTTTGAAGTCAGTCCAACCAGCCTCCTGCTGCCTGGGACATCTTTGGAGTGAGGACCACGTTTCAGGGTGACCATGGGGACTCCTGCCCATGCTACCATGTAAGTACTGTCTGCTTTGTGATTTGTTTTGTTCATATATTTGGTCTTAACAGTTCTCTATCTTCTCATCAGCCGGGCGGCCAGGTTTTCAAATCTTTGCTTTCAGGAAGTAAGCTGAAAACAAAAAATCGTGTTGCCCCCACTGGCCTCTGATTAGGGAGCATCTGTGTAAGAGGTTCCTAAGGCCTGGGTTTCTGTGAAGTGTGAACTAAAGGCTCACCTGGTTAAAACCCAAACTGTTCTGAATTTAAAAGATCCAGTTCCAGGTGACTACTGAATTTCTGTCAAATAAAGAAACAGAGTGAGTGTTGGGTGTGCTATTGTTTAGAGACGGTCTCACCTCTTAGATCTGGCTGCCTTGGAACTTGATATGGCCTCAACTGTGTGGTGAGTGTTTTCTGCCTCCCCTCTGCCTCCACAGTCCGGGGGTCACAAGTATAGTTTCTATGCCTGCTGAAAAAATGATGTTTTGGGGTACCTCCTTAGAAACAGATATTTGATTTGTTGAGGAGAAAAGTGAAAAAGGAAAATAACCTAAGGGTGTACAATCGAAAAACTGAGTCGTCTTTTATCTATCTGTAAAGGTGTCTAAACATTTATTTTATACTGAAAGCTTATCTGTTGGGTTGTTTGTATTTACTTTGGTGTTCAGGGTCTGGCCAAGGACTTTGCACCATCACTGGACAAGTACTGTGAGGTAGAGCACTATTTGTTGCTTTTGGAGATTTGGTCTATCTATATTGACCAAACAGGCCTTGATGCCCTTTTGCAAGCAATCCTCCTGCCTCAGCTTTTTCAGAAGCTGCCTGCCATTGCACCTGGCTTGTTTTTGAAATTAAATATTAGTGAGGTACTAATACATGCAATACATGCACACACTGGGTTGTCGTGATTTAAATATTTAAATGGCTGATCAAGACAGAGGCATGTCTTCGTAAGGAAGGTTTCTTTGTTTTGTTTTTGTTGTTTTTCAAGACAGGATTTCTCTGTGTAGCCTTGGCTGTCCTGGAACTCACTCTGTAGACCAGGCTGGCCTCAAACTCACAGAGATCCACCTGCCTCTACCCTCCTGGTGCCAGGACTAAAGGTGTGTGTGACTGCCTCCCCAGCTAAGGAAGTTTTCTTTAAGAAAGGAGAAAGGAACCAGGTGGTGGTGGCACACGTCTGTAATCCCAGCATTCTGGAGGCAGAGGCAGGTGGATATCTGTGAGTTCGAGGCCAGACTGGTCTACAGTGTGAGTTTCAGAACAGCCAGGGCCACACAGAGAAAGCCTGTCTCAAAAAACAAACAGGAGGAGAAGGAGGAAGAGGAGAAGGAGGAAGAGGGAAGGAGAAAGGAGGAATTTCCTTGACTAGGTTTGTTGGAAAATCCTGCAGTCTTTGATTTTAACTATCTGAGTATGTTTGGGGGAATTTTTTTTTAAGTTTTATGTGTATGGGTATTTTGCCAGTTATGTGTTGTATGTGCACCAAGTGCGTGCAGTACCCATGGAGACCCAAAGAGGGCGACAGCTCTCTCTGGAACTAGAGTCACAGAAGGTTGATTGCTGTGGTGTGGGTTATGGGAATCGAACCCTGGTCCTCTGGAAGAGTGGCCTCTTACTCAAAGAGCATCTCTCTAGCCCTGCTTGAGAAATTCTGAAGGTATTTCCTTTTCTTTTTCAGACAGATTCTATCTACATTGCTCTGGCTGTACTGAAACTTGCTATGTAGACCAGGCTGGCCCTTGAACTCCTAGAGATCCACCTGCCTCTGCCTCTGCCTCCTGAGTCTTGGGATTAAAGTCATATGCCACTGCCCAGCTGTGGTCCCTTCTTAAAGTATTAATATAGTATTAAAATATTCAGAATAGTATTTTGGGCATAATTGCTTCTTCCTCCTGAACATTCCAGGAAGTTTCGTGTATTATCCTAATTTACAGGAGTGTGTTCCTTTGATAGATGTTGCATTGTTGCTTTCTGTTTTGAGACCACATTGCCACATTCATGGTGGTGGTTCATACCTGTGCCTGTAATCCCAGCACTTGGGAGGCAGAGTCAGGCAGATTGTTAACAAGGTCAAGAGTAGCCTAGGCTGTGTGGTGAGTTCCAGGACAGCCTGGGCTATAGAACAACCTATCTTTATAAATTAAAAGCAAGCAAACAAAAGGAAGCTGGATGATCAAAATACACGGAGCTAACTGCTATGCTTCCTCTGCTCCCTTCCCGTAAGCAGTACAAGATGGCTGTTCTGGGTGCCCATGGTGTGCTGCCTGGCAGGAGACCAGCTGCAGAGAGACCCGACCCTGGACCACCACTGGGATCTCTGGAAGAAATTCCATGGCAAACAATACAAGGAGAAGGTAGATGGGGTTGCTTCAAGAGCAGCGTGCTTTTGCGGTGTTGTTTTCCCCAAATGACGTTTGGACAAGCAATGCTTTCTAGAAGTACTGTATACTTTTTTTCCAGCAATATGCTGCTTTGAGTAGAAACACAGCACATTCTTGTTGCTATGGAGCTCATGTTACAGTGTGAGAAACAGTCAATAGGCAGACATAGTGCCAATGGTGACAGACAAAGCTCATACATGTAAAGAAAGGCAGGGAAAACAGGGGGACCCAGAGGACGGTGGAAATGTGGTAGGAGGCTGAGGGAAAACCCAACAGAGAATGAGACATTTTAGCAGAGGGCTGATAGAAACATGGCAACAGACAAAATGGGCGAAAGACAGGAACGGTCCTGAGCCAGGGGAATGAGTACAGGGTTCTGAGGAAAGCCCACATTTGGCACATTTGAGGAACAGAAAGTCTTGCTGTGGAGACAGCTCAGTGGGTAAAGTGCTTGTCATACATATGAGGAACTGAGTTCAGATATCTAGATCCCAGGAAAGACTGGCACAGTAGTGTGTCCTCCTAATTTGAGGTGGAGAAATAGCTTAATGAGCCATCAGCCTGGCACATGTGTTAGACTTTTGCTGCAGCTATCGGTGGAGAGAAAAGAAGCTACAATTGAACAACCCACATGGAGTTTATCGACAAGAGAAGAGGGCAGGATGGGGCTGGATTGTCAGCCAACCCAACAAGAGACGGAGAGAGAGAAGGGGGCGCTGGACCTTTCAAAGGGAAGACGGCGCATGTGCACTGAGGTTTCACGCATGCACAGAGTCCTCATGCAGGCTGTAATGTGTGGCGGGTGTACGTGTGATGACGTAGCACGTGTCCCGCCCGTTGTTAGGGCGCAGGGTCAGCCAGGTGTATATCCTAACAAGATGAAGGGTCAAAAAAGAGACCCCGTCTCAAAGTGTAGAAGAGGAAAACCTCTGACCTCTACATGAACAATGTGGCCTAAACACACACACACACACACACACACACACACACACACACACACACACACACACACACACACACACACACACACCACATTCACAGAGAAAAAGTAAACATTTAAAAATTTATGTGGATGAGTGTTTTGCGGCGTATGTCTGTGCACCATGTGTGTAGTCCCTGTGAAGGACAGAAGAGGGCGTCAGATCCCCTAGAACTGGACTTTCAGGCAGTTGAGATGCCAAGTGGGTGCTGGGAATCAAACTGGCTCCTCTGTAAGAACAGACAGTGCTCTTAACTTCTGAGCTAGTCCTCCAGCCCGGTTTTTTTTTTTTTTTCCTGGTTTACTAATTTTATTTTATGTGGATGAATGTTTTGCTTTCATGTATTTACATGCACTGCATGCACACCTAGAGGCCAGAAGAAGGCATCAGACCCCCTAGAACTGAGGTTTGGGTAGTTGTGAACTGCTGTGTGGGTGTTGGGAACCAGCCCTGGGTTCTCTGCTGGGGCAGCAAGTGCTTTTAACCACTGAGGAGTCAACTCACTAGCTCTATATTTTTAGGTATCTGCTGGTGTGTCTGTCTGTGCGTGTGAGTGTAGGTGCCAGGAGACCAGAGGCATTGGGTCCCCAGGAGCTGGAGTCACAGGTGTTTGTGAGCTGACTGATTTGGGAGCTGGACCCAAACTTGTGACCTCTAGAACAGCAAGTGCTCTTAACCGTTGATCCATCGCTCCAATTCCATAGGGAATAATTCTAAAACTCCTCATTGTGGTCCCTGCCCACCAAAGTGCTTCAAGATAGAATTTTTTTTGACAGGGTCTTAACACGCAGCTCCAGCTGGCCTGGAACTGGCTATGTAGGTCAGCTTGGTCTCAAACTCATGGAGATTTGCCTCTGCCTTCCTAGGGCAGGGATTGGAGGCACACACCATCATGCTCAGCTAGATAGATAGGGTCCTGAATCTCACTTCTCACTCCGGTTTTTGGCTTTTATTTCAAAGCATACTTGTTGGTTGTTCTTAAAATGTTAACCATAACTTCAAATAAGTAGGTCCTGTAACTGTGGGATGTCTTTTGCAAATTAGCAAATTAAATCAAGATATGTAACAGTTTGTCATTATTCTAACTAGCAGCTGTACAACAGGCAGGTCACGGCAACTGACTCCTCCCACTGAGAGTCCATGCCCTCGGATCCCCCAGCCGAGCCTACCCGTCATGCTACTCTCTACTTCTATGAGTTTGGCTTTTTATTTTTTTGTTTTATTTAATCATTTATTGGTGCTGTAGATAGAATCTAGGGCCTCAAGCATGCACGGCAAGTGCTCTATCTGTGAGCTACACTCTGGGTGACTTAGATGTTTGCAAATCCTACATATCAGTGAGATCTTGTGGTTAAGTGTACTTCTGTGCCAGGCTTATTTAGCATAATGTGCTCAGACTCACCCATCTTGTTGTGTATGACAGGGTCCCTCCTTTTAAAAGACTAAAGAACATTAGATTGTGTATATATACCCCATTCTCTTCATCTGTGCCAAGACTTATGGGTTGATACTGTATCTCAGCCATTGTGAAAGGTGCTGTAGTGAACACAGGAGAGAAGATCTCTCTTCCATGTCCTGAATTTGTTTCCTTTAGATGTTTATCCAGAAATGGGTTGATAGGACATACGGTAGGTCTGTCTATAGTGGACTAAAATATTTGTGTTACATTTATTTATTTATTTATTTATTTACTTATTTGTGTGTGTGTGTGTGTGTGTGTGTGTGTGTGTGTGTGT